GAATGGAAATGGGATAGTATAACCATGGATTTTGTTGTTGGATTACCAAGGTCTGCTAAGAATTGTAATTCTATTTGGGTGATCGTGGATAGATTAACTAAGTGTGCTCATTTTCTTCCAGTGAATATAAGATGGTCGTTGGAAAAGTTAACTCATTTGTATATCAAGGAGATAGTTAGATTACATGGTGTGCCCTCCAGTATAATTTCTGATAGGGATCCTCATTTTACATCCCGATTTTGGCAGAGTTTACACCAGGCATTAGGGACTAAGTTGAGACTCAGTTCTGCTTATCACCCACAGACTGATGGGCAGTCTGAGAGGACTATCCAATCTTTAGAGGACTTGTTGATGGCTTGTATTTTGGATCATCTAGGGAGTTGGGAAGAGATGTTGCCTTTAGTCGAGTTCACTTATAATAACATTTTTCATGCAAGTATAGGGATGGCACCATTTGAGGCTCTGTATAGGAGGAAGTGTCAAACACCTTTATGTTGGTTTAAAGAGGGAGAATTAATGATGGTGGGGCCAGAGATCATTTTACAGACTATCGAAAAAGTGAAAAATTCAGGAAAGAATGAAAGCTGCTCAGTCTCGGTAAAAGTCTTATGCAGAAAAGAGGAGGAAACCTTTGGAGTTTTCAGAGGGAGAGCATGTATTCTTGAAGGTGACTCCTACTACAGGTGTGGGAAAGGTTCTCAAAGCTAAGAAGTTGAATCCTAAGTTTATTGGGCCGTACCAAATTCTCAAGAGGATTGGATCAGTGGCATATCAGATTGCATTACCTCCATTCCTGTCTAATTTGCATGATGTGTTCCATGTTTCACAACTGAGGAAGTATATTCATGATCTGAGTCATGTTTTGGAATCAGAGGCAGTGCAAGTTAAGGAGAATTTAACTTTTGAGAACGGCCTAAAAGTTTACTTGAAGTACGGGGCGTTCTCCAGGGAGAACGGCCTGTTCTCCTTGAAGAACGGCCCGTTCTCAATGGAGAACGACCCATACTCCTTGGAGAAAGGCCCGTACTCCTTGGAGCACAGCCCGTTCTCCATGGAGTACGGCCCGTTCTCCTTGGAGAACGGCTCGTTCTGCAAGCAGAACGCCCCGTACTCCTTGGAGACCAGCCCGTTCTCCAAGGAGTACGGGTCGTTCTCCTTGCAGAACGGCCCGTGCTCCTTGCAGAACGGGCCGTTCCAGCTGCGAAATTTTCCCAAAATTAACCTACAACGAAAATTGAGACGAGAAAAGCATGAGAAAACGAAAAGATACACAAAAAGAACATAAGCAGACGAAAATGAAAACGAAATTTACCTGGAGACTTTAGAAAATGAGAAAGATTAAAGAAAATGAGTATGGAGGGGAATATAAAAGATTTCTGACAATACTTTTAAAATTGGTTAATTAAGAACCGATTTTGTAAACTATATACAAAATCGGTTATGAAAGAACCAATCTTAAAAATAGTACTTCTAAGATCGGTTATAAAAGAACCGATTTTAAAAGTGGCACTTTTAAGATCGGTTATAAAAGAACCGATCTTAAAAGTACTTTTAAGATCGGTTCTTTTACAACCGATCTTAAAAGTGGTACTTTTAAAATTGGTTATTTTATAACCGATCTTAAAAGTTCCACTTTTAAGATCGGTTCTTTCATAACCGATCTTAAAAGTGCTTTTAAGATTGGTTCATTTGTAACCGATCTTAAAAGTACCACTTTTAAGATTGGTTCTTTTATAACCGATCTTAAAAAAGAACCGATCTTAAAAGTACTTTTAAGATCGGTTAAATTTTAACCGATCTTAAAAGTGTTCATGTTATTTACAAAATTGCCACCGCGTCACTTTTAAGATCAGTTACCTTGTAACCGATCTTAAAACTCCGATTTTAAATCCAATTTTTGCACTAGTGTATGTATCTGAAAGTGATGTTTATTTGTGTATTGATACATGTTGCACTTCATATGGTGGTGAGTTGTGAGTATTGCATGGAAAGGAATAGGATGGGTAGGAGATTGAAGGATAGGAACATAAGATAAATTTGGTCTTTCTGAGTGAATTTAAGGTTGTTTTAGAGCTTAAGGAGTTGAAATACTTCAAGGAATAGAATATTTGAGGTGAATAGGTGCTAAGGGTGAAATTTGGAAATTTTGGAAAATGGCTATATATAGGGACTTAGGACCGGAGGGTCTCATTTGTCAAACAGAGATAGTTTCTAGAGAGAGGAAGTAGAGAGAGAGGCTCTGATTCAGAGGGAAGCTGAGGACACATTTGGGAAGTTTATCAAGCTAGGATCAATCTTCACAACGGGAGTTTCAAGAGATTTGGCCTCTAAAGCCTTGAAAAGGGGGATTAAAGTTTGAGTTGGGATTTGAAGTTTTTGTTCAAACCTTGCATTTCTGAGGTTTCTAAGGTAAGGGTAGTACTTATAAGACTTAATCTAGTATGTATGGGTTTGAAATATCACATTGATTCCATGTTTTATGGATGATTAAGGTTGGATTGAGTGGAAAGGGATTGGTTGGGTTTCTTCATGATTTCCATGGATTAATGGTTAAAACTTGATTTTATCGCTCAATGTGTTGTTTTTGGATAGTTTTTATGCCTTATAATAGTTCAAACTCATGTAATTTGGATTGGGTTCGTGTTGGGAAGGAATTTTTGAGGTTTTCAGGGGTTTCTGGTTAAACATTGCATCGGGTGCAATTCTTGGCGCCATGCGTGAATTCATCAAGGACCACCATTGCCAAAATCACGCCGGGGGTGGGGCTAGTTGCGCCGGGCGCAATTTGAAATGGGAATCCCTGGGTGAATCACGCGGCGCGTGGGGAGAACCATGTCAGGCACACTATCAGACATCATCCTTGTGTTTTGGTTACTGATATTGCATCGAGCGTGATTTGAGCACGCCCGGCGTGGGTCATCTAGGGATTTCCATTCCTAACCTCGCCCGGTGTAACCAACCTAGCGCCTGGCATGCTTGGACAATGGAGTTCCCTGATGAACTCACGCCCGGCGCCAAGAACTATGTCCGACGCAATTTCAAACCGCAACCCTCACCACTTCAAAAATTTCACACCAAACCTGCAAATCAGCCAGCTCAAACACATGCAATCCATAAAATGAACTACATTTACATCATACAACTCAAAAACCATCTCTTTTTCAACATGCAACCATCAAACGCATAAAAATCCCCATTTTCCCCAATTTTCCCGAAACCCCGAAAATGAACAACTCTTCAAATTCGACCATTTATCTCCTAAATTCAAGCATTACTTGAGTTCCTAAGCACATTTACAAGAAATCCGCACGAAACCTAACTTCTCTTACCTCTCGGAGAAGAAGAATCCGAGCTCTCGGGAAAGAGGAAGAGATCCTACAACATTTTTTATATTAGGCAACGATTTTTTAGGCAACGCCTAAAAAATGTTCTGAAAATATGGAATAGGTAACATTTTTGTAAACTGTTGACACTTTGTTTGACAACAATCATAAAACCGTTCCCAAAAGCACATATAGGCAATACTTGATCAAAGCGTGCACTATTCTTTATTCAATATTTACAAAACTGTTGACCAGTTCTTTCTTTCAAAGGATCAAACACGTAGTTGGGGGTTTTGAATAGATTATCAAATTTAAATAAAATAGAGCAGAGATATGAATTAATTGCAGTAATTAAAACAGGTTAGACCCTTAAACATAATGCACCACCTCTGATATCCTCGGTTCACGATAGATAATTTGTCCAAACTTAATCTTGTTCAGTCCAGATTAACCAACTAAGCGAAGATTAACCTGAGACCTCACTACACGAATTAAGCAAACGTGAACCTTGTCATACCTCCTTCCTCAAGATTAAGCAACCTGAGATACTGAACGCAAACAACCCAGAGTCATTAAGCATGACTCAGATGTTAAACACCTCAGAACAGAGACCTCACAACGGAGAATCAAGCGGAGCAGAAATGCAACGCACAGAGAACCTCCATCAGAGGGTTGCAATCTTCCAAGGTCCCAAACCTGGGGTTTTAGCCCGCCATAAAATCAAAATGCACCAGCAAAGACATAATGCTAAACATCAAACGAATGGAATAGTGCAGAATGAAAATGGCAGCAAAA